CCCCAAAACCCCAAAACCCCAAAACCCCAAAACCCCAAAACCCCAAAATCTCTAAAAAATTTTGAAAAATTATAAGATTATTCAAATGGACAAATTATGGAAAGATGTAGGTAGAGACACAGAGGCAGGGAAACTCCTGTTCAACCTTTACCCACCAAGCAGCAAAGTGAGCTACCCCACAGTGAAGAAGAAGTCGAAGCAGACCCTAGCTAAAGAGGAGGAAGAGAAGAAGAGAGGTGGCAAAAAGAAAATGGCATGCCCACAGAAGGCAGAGGTGGAATACCCTAAACTTCCAGCCCCCAAGAGAAGAAAGTGGCATATGATAGATTTCGTCCCTCGTAAAAAGAATGAAAAGGTTATCAAAACAGAGCTTGATAAAGGCAAAGGAGTGGTCAAGCCAAGACCTGGTGTTGACAGGAAGAGAATGATCGATGACCTCCAGGATAAGTTTCAATTCCAAGGCATGAAAGGTGCTGTTGTTGGAGTGGACCCAAAAATTCGTAAGAAACAGCAACTTGAAGAAATGATGAGGCAAGCACCAGTTACTAAGAGTACCAGATCTGGCTTTATTGTTCCAGACTATGCTGCTGAGTACTACGCTGAGCGTTATGGTAAGACTCTTGACCCCTCAAGTCTGAAGAGACAAGCACCTTCTGAAGCTGGATACTCCACAGTTGATGAACAATACCAAGAACTTGAAGATCTCTTCTCAGATGTCGTCAAAGAGATAGAGGAGAGGCAGGACTATCTTAAGGAGATCACTAAGCTAGGTGGCAGCAAGGACATTGAAGAGCGAACCAAGAGAGAGATAGTTGAGCGTATAGCCGAACTCCAGAAGATCAGAACTATGCAGAAAAAGTTATAATTAGTTGAGTTTCTTAACAGAAAATTCTTAAAACTTCTAGAAATATCTTCTATCAGTGCATCAACTATTTCGCAGCCTCAAATTGCCTCATAGGTAGGATTGAAAATGATTCAATGTTTTAAATAATATTGGGGTTTTGGGGTTTTGGGGTTTTGGGGTTTTGGGGTTTTGGGG